ATCTGAGGGTGCAAAAAAATCTAAATATTGAGAAAATAGCCTTTAAAGTTGTCAAAATGAAGTTCTTAGCAATGCATATTACTAATCAATAATTAAGTTTTGATATAATTACTGTAGGAAATTTACAAAATATCTTGGAACATGATATTTCCTTATTTTGGTGATTTCAAATATCAACATTGGCTACCAGAAATCCCTTACTCTGCCTTTAAGACTGGTTTTGTGGTCCAGGGTCACATGTGTCAAACAACAAAACTAAATTGAAATTTTAAAACAAACCCTAAATCAAATAAATAATACAAATAAAAGAAATCTCTTGATATAAACAAAGGCTTTGTCTGTGCTCTTTCCATTTACAATAAGAGGCAACCACAGTATTTTAATCACGATCCAAACAAAGATGCTGCATACACGATGCATGAGCAGTTTTTTTTATCTAAATTAGATTGTATAACTTCGAAATTTGAAGCAAAAGCAAAATGGTCTGACTTGAGTTTTGTGAAACTGTATATAAAACACATCTACAAACAGCAGATGGTCTGAAGGAAAACACAAATTCACTCTCTGCCAGCAGGTGGTGCTTATGGAACAGCGGTAATATAGCCTTTCCTTGGTTACTACTGTAGACAAAGCAGCACTGCGCTTATGAACACTACTTCAATATGCATCATACAGAGGCAAGATGAACAGAAAATAGCATCTAAACTTTTCTAAAGACAGTTCCCCTCAGAGATACATTCACATAAACTCCTACCCCCAATTGTATTGTGATTTGTTTAGCATCTCAACGATTTTAATCGTTACATATTTGTATCAACCGGCTCGCGGTGTATCGTTACATCCCTAGCGGTAAGATGGACATTCGACTATATAATTTTGTTTAAAATCATGTTTAAAATGTATAAAACTTGTACTGTTGCTGTTTCTGATAGTTTGGTCTAAAGAATCTCAAGTCTTACATAAGTGTGTAATAGTTACACGAATAGTAGACATACTCTAGCAGAAATAAAACTTCTCTTACAGTTGAATTTTTAACATTAGCATTTACTGAATTTTTAGTGTTGTTTTTGCAACAACCATTTTGACAGTGTTTGGGTCATTTCTTCGTTGCTATCTCTGTTGCAGGCATGCACGCTGGCCAGACGGAATGCTGACGTGTTTCTGAAATACATGCACAGAAACAGCGTCAGCATGCCGGGGATGCTGAGTCACGTCAAAGCACCAGAGCAGCAGGTCAAAAGTGAGTTCTGGCCACAGCTTGACGTCAAAACGGTTACTTAGAAATATTGCATAAAGGATGATATACAGACTGTGTATTATCCTGCTAATGAAACAGCTATGTATTAAATATATTAATAAATGGACAGGAAATATCCATTTTACTGTTAACGAGCTATTTTTGTGAGAAGTAGGAGGCTGTGAAGTGATGAAACAGACATGACTGGGTTAGCATTCAATCATACAGTTTAGCGGACTTTATGCAAAAATATATAGACTTAGAGTACCACAACTGACCAATCAAGCATTCCAGAGAGACGTATAATAAACACATGGAGCCCCTCATATGTCCCTGTAGTATTTCAAATCCTGTTCCACTTTTCAAACCACAAGGCTACAGATGCTGCCTTTCTGCATGTTTTCCTCTTATTTACCAGTCTTCCCTCTGCTGGCTCTCTGGAGATATGACAAAACACAGTCTGTCTTCCCCACAGGGGTTTAGATCCAGTGCATGTTGATTTTACATTCTGCAAGCCATCTAAAATAGCTGTGGTATACCATCTAGTGGCCGAGCAGTGCGCTGCACCCTCACTTGAGTTTTTAGCAGCTGGCCCACTTTGGCCCACTTTAGCCCAGTTTAGAATGTGTGCATTGTGAATGCGGCCTTGTTCTGTTCAGAGTGTGCTTACAATGACTCAGATAAGGAAACCGTAAATGGGTCAGGCCTCTGCCGCACAGATAAGGGCAGCGTACTGCAGAATGGTGACAGCATTACTCCACTGGGGATCGTCACATTACCTTCATGCTTCACACACACACACACACACACACAACATTGTAAAGTGCATCTGCTTGTGTAGCAATTTTATCTTTAGTGCTCTCAATTTAAGAAGTCGTGGCCTAATGGTTAGAGAGTCGGACTCGTAACCCAAAGTTTGTGGGTTCGAGTCTCGTACCGGCAGGGATTGTAGGTGGGGGGAGTGAATGTACAGCGCTCTCTCCCACCTTCAATACCATGACTGAGGTGCCCTTGAGCAAGGCACCAAACCCCCAACTGCTCCCTGGGCGCCGCAGCATAAATGGCTGCCCACTGCTCCGGGTGTGTGTTCACGGTGTGTGTGTGTTCACTGCTGTGTGTGTGCACTTTGGATGGGATAAATGCAGAGCACTAATTCCGAGTATGGGTCACCATACTTGGCCACATGTCACATGTCACGTCCCTTAAAATGTATTTATTCAAATAAATTGTTTAATTATGTAAATGTAATTTTATCAAATTTTAAAAAGGTGTTTGATAATAATAATAACAAAAATAATGGATTTTCCTATATTAGAGAAATTAAAACATTACCCCTTTAATTTAACATTTTTAAATTAACAATAGTTAATTAATAAAATGAATGAATCTAAAATGTTTTAATTATGTATTAATTCTATCATAATAGTAATAATAAGATACATTTATTATTATTGTTGTTATTTTCCTACCATCAGTTAAAGCAATAAATATTCAAGATTCAATTACCCATTTAACTTTAAATTTTATAACTAAATGGATTAAGTTTTATGCAAAAATGCTCAAATTTAATTTAATATAATCTAATCATTTCATAATATTTTTTATAATAATAGAAGTCAATATGTTGTTTCATTTTTGAATTGTTTATTGCTTGAAATGCACTGATGGTTGGCTAACCATAATAATAACAATAACAAGCGTAATAAAAATAAATAATAGTTTTATTCTTATTTTCCTACCATCAGTGCATTTCAAGCAATAAACAATATAATTCAAGAAATAAACAAAATGTTAACTTCTTTGTAGTGTCTGTTCAATGATTTACTCGTCTGTCACAATATTGTTTGAATTATCTTAATTTAAGGGCGTTCTCAGAAAAAGATGAATTCGATTAAATAATCTGTACATCTTGTATCTACTAATTTCTATTGATTGAGAGCACTAGTTAAAATACATATATTGAATATTATGATTAGCATGATTCCAGTGGCTTGCAGCTAGCAGTTAAAAGATCTGCGCTGGTGTTCAAAGTGTTGTGCTTCAGAACTGCGTTGTACATCATGGTTAAGAATGATCATGTGTGATTTTGTAGATATCCTGAATGAGTTACTGCAAAGGGAGAATCGGGTCCTGCACTTCTGGACCATGAGGAAGAGAAGGCTGGACCAGTGTCAGCAGTATGTGGTGTTTGAACGCAGTGCCAAACAGGTTTGATGTCTCCCTCTTCCTCCATCTGTTCCTTTGATGTCTGATCAGTCTGATTATTCACTTTTTCTTGGCCCAAGGCTGAGACTGACAGACTCATGACTCACTGCCATGGCTCTAATTAAACTGCACAGAGACATTATAATTAAGACATTTACCTTTTTCATCCTCTGTTTGTATGTGTGTGTATTGGGATGTGCGTTTATGCATATGCCATAACATGTCTTCTCAGTTCATTTTAGGTTTAGTCATGAAAATGTTGTTTTAAAACAATGTTTCTCAACTTTAGGACCCAGATTAGGGCCATAGCGTTTGCTTGGAGAATGACATTAATAATAAATATATGGAAAAGACCTATTTTAACTATGCACATTTAGGTTCAGTTGTGTTTTGTTTTTGCATTTAGCATTGTTTTACCTCACTGTCTGCAACACACTTGCTATGAATCACTATTTTAAAGTGTTTCTTTCTCATTGTCCAGGCTCTGGAGTGGATCCATGACACCGGTGAGTTCTATCTGTCCACACACACCTCCACAGGCTCCAGCATCCACCACACGCAGGAGCTTCTGAAGGAGCACGAAGACTTCCACATCACAGCCAAGGTACGACTGCACCACAGCGATGACAAACACCTGGGCTGCTCCTTTTAACTCTGCAGTTACCTAAAGCTCATTCTCTTCCTGTGTCCCCAGCAAACCAAAGAGCGGGTGAAGCTGCTGATACAGTTAGCGGATGGTTTCTGTGATAAGGGCCACTCCCACGCCGCTGAGATTAAGAAATGGGTCACGGCCGTGGACAAACGCTATCGAGACTTCTCCCTTCGCATGGACAAGTATCGCACGTCTCTAGAGAAAGCCCTCGGCATATCATCAGACTCAAGCAAAGCAGTATGTGTTTTTTTCTCATAATAGTGTGATATCTGATCATTTTGAGTCTTGACATATCACATGCTAGCATTTGAGTGAGTTTGCATGGTTTGGAGCCATAATCTGGACAAATAGTTTGTGTTTTTGCCATCAGGCTGTCAGTAGATTAAGATAAGTATTTTCATCAATCATTTTACATACTCATCATTTTTCATGTACGTCGTCTTCTTAATACCTGTATTCTGGTCAAGTCTTCAAATAATTTTTTATACAAGATTTACAGCTATTAGAATATTCCTGTATGTAATAAACATTCAGAATACATTCAATCTTATTTCCTGATATTCTTTTCTAGAAACACTTGTTTTAATTGTAGCTATACACAATAAATTAATAAGCGATTCACACTCATGTCCATAACAATGACAGAAAAATGCAATAAATTGCATACTGTTAAAGTATTTATTCATATTTTTAAATTAGGGTTTATTTTTATATGTACGGTTTACATTTTAGTTGAAGTATTAGTCATTTTATGTGCTAGTTTTAGATTGTTTGTCATTTTAGTACTTCACATCCACATAGTAGTTCACATCTAATATTTGTTTTATTTTATTTCTGCTATCAGAATATTTTTGTGCATAATCAGTGGGAATAGTCCTGAAAAATATATGCTGTCAGAAGACTGTGGGACAAAAACAAGTTGTTTTTAATTTCCAGAGTAAAGACCTGCAGTTGGACATCATTCCAGCCAGCGCTCCAGGGTCAGAGGTCAAACTCAGAGATGCTGCCCATGAGCTTAACGAAGAGAAGCGCAAGTCTGCCCGCAGGAAGGAGTATGTCTGATTTACTGTTATTTATTGACCGAAAGGTCACTGAAATATTCTAATGAATTCTTGTACTTTTAGATTGAGAAAGATCTACATTGTTTATTTTTTCCATTTGAATAGCTTCATCATGGCTGAGCTGATTCAGACAGAAAAAGCTTATGTGCGAGACTTAAGAGAGTGCATGGATGTGAGTATTTTGTTGTATATTATTAAAGCTTTTATTTGGATCTTTTGTCCTGAATTATGGAAAATCGAAGCAAATCACGATAAAAATGTCCTTATTTCAGACTATGATGTAAATAAATCTGTCAATTTGAACCTTTTCCTCTCATCCAGACATATCTGTGGGAGATGACCAGTGGCGTGGAGGAGATCCCACTAGGGATCGTTAATAAAGAGCATATAATTTTTGGTAACATGCAGGACCTCTACGAGTTCCATCACAAGTGAGTTCATTTATAATGCAAATGCTTTAAGCATTTTTTAAAGAATAAATTCTCCCGTCCAAAATCCAGCAAATTAGTTTCCAGTCCCCTCTGTAAGTGGCTCATATATATCGCTCTTTTTTTTTCTTTTTCTGTCACCAGTATTTTCCTCAAAGAGCTGGAGAAGTACGAGCAGCTTCCTGAAGATGTGGGCCACTGTTTTGTGACTTGGGTGAGTAGAGTTAATTGTGTTTGAATACTAATATTGTATCTGCTTCTTTCAGATTAAGGTCATTGAAATACCTCTTTCATCTTTCATCAGGCCGATAAGTTCCAAATGTACGTGAACTACTGCAAGAACAAACCAGACTCCACTCAACTTATTCTTGAGCATGCTGGAGGATATTTTGACGTGAGTTGAATGTTTCTGTTATGATTCATGTATTTTATTCATTTTGATCATTCATCATTTCTTCCTGCCAGTGGCCAATTTGAATCCCAATTGTGAAAGTCGATGTATTCAAATTCTTGTTACAGGAAATCCAACAGAGGCATCGCCTGGCCAACTCCATCTCATCATACCTCATCAAACCTGTTCAGAGAATAACCAAGTACCAGCTGCTCCTCAAGGTAAAAACATCTTGAATTCATCCCGAAACTTACGGAATGGTTTGCTTGTAACCACTTAGTGGTAATTGGGTTTGCGTTTGTAGGAGCTCCTGACGTGTTGCGAGGAAGGCAAAGGTGAAATCAAAGATGGCCTGGAGGTTATGCTCAGTGTTCCCAAGAGAGCCAATGACGCCATGCACTTGAGCATGCTGGAAGGTGAGTGGACGCGCGCACACAGACACACAAAGACACATATGGGGCAGATGAAACGGTTTCTGATGGCAGTGAATGTCTTCAGGGTTTGACGAGAACATTGAGTCCCAGGGAGAACTGATCCTGCAGGAGGCGTTCCATGTGTGGGATCCCAAGACCCTGATCCGTAAGGGACGGGAACGTCACCTGTTCCTCTTCGAAATGTCACTGATTTTCAGCAAGGAGGTTAAAGACTCCAATGGCAGGAGCAAGTACATCTACAAGAGCAAGCTTTTTGTAAGTTTCACATCAAGATTAAAGCACTGAAACATCTTTTTATGCAGAGGATCTGATTGTTTTAAATGCTTTGTTTTGGCTGCAGACCTCTGAACTGGGTGTTACTGAGCATGTGGAAGGAGATCCGTGTAAATTTGCCCTCTGGGTTGGACGGACCCCAACTTCAGACAACAAGATTGTCCTCAAGGTAACCCTCTTTTTTGACTTTCTCTTGCTCTGTTGACAAGCATGGCACTGTTTTGGTCCAGCTTTCTATGTTGCATTGCTGTGTAACTCGTCTCTTTTGCACTTTAACAAGTAAAAGGTTGAATATTTGTAAAATCCTAATATTCAGCATGAAGACTTGTTTTTACTAACTGGGGAAGGGAATGTCAATTATTTTCTGTAGTAATTGACAGCGTGCCTCAGGTGCTCTTGATATGATTTGACATGAAAAACACCTCAGGTTGATCCTAAAGAGAATGTTAACCACAACAAAAATCTATTTGTATCAAACTATGACTGTGGTTATATGGGAAGATCTTGCATCTTTGGTTCTGACTGGATGTTAATAAAGTGCAAGGAAACAAAAACCAAGAATAGTCTCTACTGGTGGTGGCTTATGTGCATTGCAAGTGGCTTCTGTCTCACAGTAACTGTTAACTGACTGCATGCTGTTTAAAACTGTAAGGCTACTGTGTTCAAAACTTTCTTTAGTGAAATGTGACAAAATTGCATAGTTATTTACTGTCCATTTATATGTGGTTTACATCATATAAGCTGAAGAAAAATTCTCTGCTTAAATCATTCAGTGTCATGTATTTCATATTAAAAATACAAACACATGTGCACACAAACACACATATATCGTATCGCTTATATATATTATACATTTTTTCACAAAAAGAAAATAAAATATATTAAACTATATATAATATGTATGTATATAAAGGCAGTAGCTTATATTCTTTTTGTTTGAAAAATAGTTTTAAATTCTACTTATTAATCATAATTTACATCTTCAAATGGCAGTGACTAATGTATAAACCATGTATCACAACACGTTGGCAAAATTGGCTCTAAGTTATCACAAAATATGTTTATTAATGTTGTCCCTATGTCTTACCGGCCACTGTCTCATGTAGTATGATATATGGCATTTTATAAAGCAGTAAAATCTTGTATATTTCTATATTTCGAATGAAGCTAAGTCAGGGATGCAAACATGGATCCATGGTGAGTACAGCCACACAGATAACTCACCCTTAGTTCACCATAGAACAGAAAATCAATGTGTACTCTTACTCAACGTTTTGTATTTCTCTGCGTTTTCTCTCTCCACACACATAAACACAGGCGTCCAGTATTGAGAACAAACAGGACTGGATAAAGCACATCCGTGAAGTGATTCAGGAGCGCACTGTGCATCTGAAGGGGGCGCTGAAGGAGCCCATCCACATCCCCAAACCTTCCACAGCCAAACATAAGGGTCGCAGGTACACCCCCAGGCCAGTGAAACATCTCTTTTCTTACTTAAATATTAGAAAGAATAATAAGAATATTAATTTTGTCCTTTTTTACCCTTCAGCTTAATTTTACTGTTGCTGGATTTATAGTTTTCTTAGTATGTGGAACCATACTAGGACTAGGAGTTAATTTCCTGTGTGTGTTTATGTGTGCAGGGATGGAGAGGATCTGGACAGTCAGGGTGACTGCAGCAGTCAGCCAGACACCATCTCACTGGCCTCCAGGACCTCACAGAACACACTGGACAGCGACAAGGTGAGGCTACACCTCCTGTCTGTGAGAATGACTCTTAAACCTTTCAGAGCTTCTAATGTTGATCTCAGTGAAATTACTGATGAAAATGTTTGCAGCGTTATTTTAGCATTATGGATATACTGTTACAGTATAGGGATTTAACGATTTCTGGTTTGACGATAAATCATGATAAAATTTCCGACGGTTAGTATTACCGTTTCGTATTTTAATTATCATTAAAACGTTATTGTTTTAGTGATTATGCAAACAAAGTCATTTTATTTGTTGTTTGTTGATTTTTAAATATAAAACTTGGTTTAGTGATTTATGTGTTGGTACTTTTTGAACATCTCCAGCACATTTTAACAATACCGTGATAATACTGATAAGCGTGATAATTTTGGTCACTATAATCGTGATAAGCAATTTTCATACTGTTACATCCCTATTACAGTATTTATATTATTTTGAAATAGTTTGTTTTAAGTTTTCGTTTTCATTTTAGTTTAGTTTTTAGTTTAATTGTATGTGCTTTGTCATTTTATTAGTTCTTATTTAATATTTATATTTTTAATAATTATAGTTCTAGTTTTAATCATTTTAGTACGTCAACTTAAAACGATAGATCACCCCAAAATAAAAATTCTGTCATCATTAATTCAGCCTCATGAAATGAAATGTTGAAATGTTGCCTTGGCAATTTGATGAAATAAAAAAATGCAGGAAAAAAATAAACTTTTTAAGTTTGCAAGTTTGTTTTTCTTCTATATATATATATAGATTTGTTTTTTAATTTAAGCTTTTTCGATTAATAGTAACAATTTTTAGTCATTTTAGTTAACTGTAACAACACTGAATGTTAACCAAAAAAAATGTTGTTAACAATATCAAGGACAGGACAAAGACACATTGTGTTGATAATTAAATGAGAAAAAATAGCAGTACAAAATATTAACAAAACAGCTTACATATTCTAAGAATAATACACAAAGCACACTGTGGCCATAATACACTATAAATAATGTACCAGTAATATATATTAACAAAAATTAATTAATTAAACACAATAATTTCTAAACAACTCATGCTTTCTTATTCTATTACTTCTGGGCAGGTTTATACATTTAAATGAATGTTTATACATTTTTCAAAATGGTTTGATCTGGAGCATTTTGACACTTTAAAAAAAAAAAACTTTTCATATTACTCATTTTTTTACTGATCTTGTATGACATTTCAGGCATAGTAAAATCGACTAAAATTAATGAATATGACATGGCAAAAAAATCACAAAATTTAAAGGGCATTTTAGTCTTAAGACAATCACTATAACTAAAAACATGGCTCTTTTCTTTTTCTTTTTTCTTCAGTTGTCAGGTGGTTGTGAGCTCACAGTGGTCATCCATGACTTCATGGCCGGTAACAGTAATGAACTGACAGTGCGAAGGGGACAGACGGTAGAGGTACTAGAGAGGCTCCACGATAAGCCCGACTGGTGCTTGGTGCGGACCACTGACCGTTCCCCTGCCCTGGAAGGCCTGGTTCCCTGTGCCATGCTCTGTATCGCCCACTCCCGCAGCAGCATGGAGATGGAGGGCATCTTTAACCACAAAGGTGGGCAAATGTCCGAAACGCTTCCTAATAATCCACACAGACCTGTGTCAGATAATAATCACAAGCTTTTCTGTATTTTTCCAGACGCGCTTTCTGTGTGCAGTAACGATGCCATCTTGCCAGGCTCCTCTGCCACCCTGCAGCCAGGTCATGTGATGGGCTCCCAGAGTTCCCCTGGGCCCAAACGCACTGGCAACACATTAAGGAAATGGCTGACCAGCCCTGTGAGGAGACTCAGCAGTGGTAAAGCCGACGGCCACGTGAAGAAGCTGGCGCACAAACACAAGAAGAGCCGTGACGTCAGAAAGAGCGCAGACGCAGGCTCGCAGAAAGACTCTGACGACAGCGCAGCCACGCCACAGGATGAGACTCTGGAAGAGGTTTGAATGTTATTCATACTTTTTCAAAGCTGGTCTTACTGGCTTTCTGAATATATAGCCTAATTTATGGTTTTGTCCCTGAACCTCCACAGAGGGTGCGTAACGAGGGTCTGAGCAGCGGGACTCTCTCCAAATCATCGTCGTCAGGAATGCAGAGCTGTGGAGAGGAAGAGGGAGAGGAAGGAGCTGATACTGTGCCACTTCCTCCACCCATGGCCATCCAGCAGCACAGCCTCTTCCAGCCGGACGCACAGGATGACAAGGTGAGCCGGCACATGACATAGTAGAGGGGGGCGACAGAGGAGGGGGGTTGGTACGAGTGAGTCACTAGTTTAGATTTTGTTTGTTTGTTTGTTTGTTTGTTAAGAATTGTTGTGTAGTATATAAGGACAGTTACTGCATTTGGTTGGTTGTTTTTTTGTTTTTTGGGGGGGGGGGTTCTCTCTGCCAAACGTTAAACCTCAATCCTTTTAGAGATCCTCCGCTTTAAATAATATCTTCTCCTGGTATATGCAGTCTTTACTTTCAATTTCAGTTTTACAGTTCTAGCTCAGTTCCAATTCATGTGTGACTGTGAAATACAATTCATGTGAAAACTGTTTTTCTGATCATTTTAAGACCGAAATGGAAATCTTGTCATATGGACCCCCATCACACTTGGCAGTAACACGCAGCTTTTAAGACTGGATCATTTGGAAATAGTCATGAATGAATTCATATCACATTTATTAAGCTTGAAATGTGTTTCTTCGCAATCAATCAACAATTTCATGTTTTTTATTGAATTATTCTTGTTTTTCTCATTTCTCTCCCAAAGAAAGCTTCTTTTTTTTTTTTTTTTTTC